AACTCGGGGGGGCGGCCCTGTTGAGAAACTTCAAAGTAAACAAGACCGTGGGGTGTGACTCAGTGACAGAACTACAAGCCTAGCATGCAGAGGCCCCAGATCCCACCCTCAGCACCAGGAGGGAAGTATTACTAGTAATACTTTCCTACATTGGTCTTACTATGTTATGTGCACGTGAGAGTACTGCCTTCATATACATTCATGCATCACGCCCATGCCTGGTGCCTGCAGAGTTCAAAAGAGGGTCGGATCTCCAGGAGCTGCGATGACAGACTGTTGTGGGCCACTGTGCAGGTGCTGAGAATTGAACCGGGGTCCTCTGCAAGAACAAGTACTCTTAACTACCAAACCAGCCCTCCAGGCCGGAAAGGCTTTCTTTTTAGATTTTGTTGCAAGATTCTGTTTAAAATCTTTATTCAGGTTTCTTTGTGACATGACTTAACTTTTATTTTCTGCTGAAAGATGTCACAGGTCCAAACACAGACATTCTCCAGGACATGTTGACATCCACCTGTTTGCCTCATAGGAGCCTGGATGGAAAGATAACATACCAGGCTGTGAGGGGAGCTACTCTGGACTCCCTAACCTGCTCATTCACCTAGAGGGAAGAGTGGATTTCTTCATCCCCAGCAACCACAGGAGACTAGACATCAAGTGTAAGTAACCCGTCCGAGGTTATTCAACCAAGCAGCGGTTCTCAAACAATACTCTGTTCACTAAACCCAGCAGGAAAGACGGCAACCCCAACACGTGGGCCCAGCTCATCCACAGACCCCAGAATTTACTGCTCCGATGTGACAGCTTCGTTTCAGGAGGGTGATCAGCAAACCACTTGTCCTGAGTAAGTTCAGCCCTCTCTTGTATCAATAAAGCTGCAATAGCACACATCCAAGCCCACGTACACGCACATACGCACATGTGTGGCTTATGGTGTATGTGTGGTTGGTGGTCTGTGTGGTTTTTGGGTGTGTTTATAGGATTTATGTACGTATGAATGTATACATATATGGCTATGTGAAACTTATGGGTATATTTTATATGATTGGTTATGTGTGTAGTTTACGGCATGTATGCATGTATATGCATATATGTGGTTTATGGATGTGTTTGTGTGGTTTACTTGTATATGTGTATGCTCATGTGGTTTGCAGTACATGATTTGGAGTGTATGTGTGTTGTGTGCTTTTGTGGCTTACAGTTCCTTCTCGGGTATATGCTGGAAAGGGAGTATGATTGCTTTCAGGATGTATATATGTTTGTGTTTGCATTTGTGTAATTTGTAAAGTGTGGGGATATAGGTGTTGTATCTATGTGATTTACAGTTGCTTCCAAGGTGTGTGTGTGTGTCCATGTGTCTGTGTATGTGTGGCTCATGGTAGCTTCCAAGGTGTGTGTATAAGTGTGTGTTTGTAGCTTCTGGTTAGTCTGTCACTTCAGAGCTTACAGGTGTGTTACACACATACCTTCTGGCCTGAAAAGCCCCTAATTATTACTACATGACCCTTCGTGGAAATTAACATACATTGGTCAACCTCTAATTTAAAGAGTGGTTTACGGCCTGAGTTGTGCTCTATTCTTCAAGTATTTGAATCTTCAACTAGACCCTGATTCTGTTTGGATTAGTTCACTTGACAGGGAGATTTTGGTGAAAATGGCTGCCAATGCTTGATTCATACTCAGGTTGCACACAGAAAAGACTCCATGGCTGTACTCATGGTTCAAGTTAGCCCACTGCAATGGGAGTGATGTGGGTACAGAGTAGCTGCAACCCTTGCAGGGACACTGTCACAAACACAGGACAAAGTGGGCAGGTGACATGCAGAATGCTTTGCTCTGGAAGAAGCCTTGCCTTCAAGGTTGAACAGGCACCACTCCCTTTAGCATTCAGATTTGAAGAGTCTATCTATATTCCAACAGCTGAGCTAATCCCATTTTCACCAAGGATCCAGACATCATTTATTGGCACCTTGCTTTCCTCATAAATAGAAGCATGCCCTCTCCCAAGTTCCTTCACTGATACCTCTTGAAAACTAAACATCTGAAAAGAAATGTGGTCTCCTGAACACTGATGTATTTTACACAAGGGTCTTTTGAAGCTAAATGCATCTTACAATAACTTACAGCATATTCAGGATTGAAATCCAGCCTTCCAACTCCTCCTGCAAATGTCTGATCATTTGTGACACTTTCATCTCATTTTTTAAAACCTTTTACTATGGAAATTTTCAAATACGTAAAAATAAAAGGATAGTCCCCAGCCACTAGCTTCTACAAGTATCAGCACTCTGCTATTTTTCCAGTGTATCCCTCCTCCCAGCGTTTTGTTTGCTATTTGTTAGAGCGTTTGAAAGCTGATTTCACACGCCAAGTCATTTCACCCATGAATGCTTATTTCTGTTAGGGCTCTTCCTTTGAAGAAAAACATGATACCATTATCACCGCCAAAGTAATAAATAACAACTCTTAATGTTATCTAATACCCAATCTCACTTCAATGTCTTTTCTTTTTATAACTGTTCTGTTCAAGCAAGGATCCAAATATGACCACATACCGTGTGTTCTTGATTAGTCTCTTTATGTATGCCACAGAGTCCTCTCATTTCCCATTCACCCATCCCTGGTATATATTTAAATGCCAACTGGATGGACAGATCCTATCAACAGTGACACCTTTCAGCCCCTGCACACTGGAAGCAGACCCCGACACTCCACGGGCCTCTGCATCCCTTAGGCAGAGTCTTCTGTGCCCTATACCTGCCACCTGCGACCCCACCTGAGAGCCAGAATGAAGACTGTCTCCCTGTCTCCCTCGCTCATGCTCTGAAGAGAATTCAGATTGCTTCAACAAGCCAATCCTAGAAAAATCACATCTTTCTGCGCTGCTCTGGCCTGAGGACTCTGAATGGCTTAAAAGCAAGGCACCAGCTCATCACGCCTTCTTTTTTGAGGTCAGCCAGACTTCATCAAGGATTGCAAAGTAAATCAGACATGCCTCTGGACCCATCACTGTTATCAGTGACAGTGTGAGTCTGCACCTAGGCCATGCAGGGCGCGGGGCTATGAAAAGGATGACCAGAGTCCCTTGCCCACTGGAAACTGACCTAAACCAAGAAGCAGCAAATCATTTTCAGTGGTTCTCAATCTGTGGGCTGATTTGAGGGGGCGGGGTGTCACATATCAGATATCTGCATTCCAATTCGTAGCAGTAGCAAAATTAGTTACGAAGTAGCAACCGAATTGATTTTATGGCTGGGGACTACCACAGAGTGAGAAACGTGTATTGAAGGGTTGTGGCACTAGGAAGGTTGAGAACCTCTGGTTTAGGTAAACTGCCCAAGGAGACAAGAAATGAAGGCGCACCCAGACTGGCAGCCATGCCTAGACTCCGGGGTGAAGGGGATTTGCGAGGTTCATCCCCACAGCGAAACCAAAAGGAGTCGCAAGGTGCGAAACTTGTCTTCTTGAGCGGGTGTACCACACAGGATCTCTGAGAGCTCCGATTCCCGGTCTCACTTGTAAGACAGGCGAGTCCCACTTCCCTCCCAGAGTAGCGGCCAACATTGACTCAGTGTTCACTGTGCACAGGTGTTCATGTCACCTTCTTTGGTAGGTTAATCTGCACAAAACCCCTTCTTGTGCAGCCCTGACCAGCCTGGAACTCACTACGTAGAGCAGGCTGGCTCTAATCCATAAAAGCCGTATGAGACCGGCTGCTTCTAGTCTCATTTTGCAGATGAAATGATCAGTTAGGTTCTAAGAGGTATGGTGACCTGCCCCCGGTCACTCAAGCAACTAAAGTGACCCCAGGACTTGGCCTGAGGCCTCCTCACCAGAGACTTCCATTTCCTATCCGGTTGTCATGCTACCCTGACCAGGCTGGCTCCCCCTGAGGAAGAGAGTGTGCTCCACACTGCATGGTGTACCTCAAATTTCCAGTCAACATCAACTCTTACCACTAGGGACACGCAGGTAGGGAAGGAAAAGAAGGACACTGTACCCAGGAAGCCCCAGCCGACTCTGGCTTCTGGGGATTTCTGTTACACCAGCAAGTCTCCCTTGGGCTTCCTATGTTTCTGCTCTATCTCTGCTTCCCTCTGCCCTGTGAGGGAGACCCGGTGAACAGTGGCTGTTTCTACACCATCTTTGCTAATTTAGAAAACCATCAAACGGCCTGGGCAGGAAGAGGTAGGCACTGAAAAAAAAATGTGTTGGCTAGAAAAGCCAGAGCTTCATTCATTCATTCATTCATTCATTCACCACAAATTCGAACTTGCACCTCGAAGGTGGTGTCTCTCTCAGCCACTGCCCCTTAAAATAATTCCATATAAAAAGAGCAGGGTCGAGTGGCAGAGGCCCCCCTACCCCCGAAACCCACTCAAAACGAAGGAAGCAGTGGGTTCCAAAACGAGATACAGCGGGGGGCTCGCACTCCCAAACTCCTCACGGGGGCTTCCCTTCTCCCGGCTCCCGGAGCAGCTCAAGGAGAAACTGACAGGAAGTCAAAGTTTCCAACACACTCAAGTCCCGGCCCGGGAAGGAGGGCCACCTGAGGATACGGGCTCCCGCCCCGTCTCAGCGCACCCTACAAGTCCTCCGAGAGACACCCGCGGAGGGGCGGGGCGCCCCAACTGCTACTTACAGTCGTCTAAGTCATCCTGCAAGTCCACAAAGTACAGGGGGAATCTCTGGAAAACCAAGAGACACACAAGGAGTTAACGCGGGGCTGCGCGGGCGGCGAGTGCCTGGCTCGCGGGGGAAGAGGTGGGGAGGCTCCCGGGGAGGGGGAGGGGAGCCGCTCGGAGACCCCGGAGCTGGGACCCACGCACCCGCCATCTTGGGATGGGCTGGGGGCGTGGCTGATGGGCGGAGCGAGATCAAAGGCCACGCCCACCGGCCGCACTCCGCCCACCCACCCACCCGCCATCTTGGGGACGGGTGGGAGGTGGAGCTAGGGGCGTGGTGATGCCAGCATTACGCCCCACCCCGCTCCGCCCACTCCTCAGCGGAGATGGGGCTGAGCCGGAGGGTGGGGCGGCGCTGTGGCTCCGCCCTCCTCCCCGCCCCTCCACTCCGGGCGCCCCGCCTACCCGCCTCGGAGCCGCGAGCCGGCCGCCCCGCCCTCGCGGAGAAGGTGGCTGCCGAAGTGGGCGGGGAGGTCAGGTGACCCTGCCGGCGTCCCAAGATGGCGGCGGCGGTGGCGCCGGGGAGGCCGAGGCGGCGTCGGGGCTGCTGAGGTGACTCCGCGGGGCAAGCGACGGGTCGGCCGCACCGGAGGGCGGCGGCGGACGTACGGCCGCCTCGCGTGAGCAGCCGGGGCCGGGCGGTGCGGCGGCGGCGGCTCCGGGTGATGCTGGTGCTGGGCCGGGCCTCTCCCTCCTCAACTTAGGGCGGCGGCGGGCCCGCACCCCCGGTTCCCGGGCCATGGCGCTGAGGGAGCTCAAAGTGTGCCTGCTGGGGGTGAGTGGCGGCGGGCCGGGCCCCGAGGGTGGCGGAGGCCGGGTGGGCGGGTCCCAGGGCCCCTGGCTTCCCTTCCCGCCCTGTGCGGGGCGCCGCCCCCCGCAGACCCCCGGGGCGTCCGGGCTCCCCCGGGCTGTGCCCCACACAAGGTCCCGAAGTGCCGGGGTGGCCCCGGCGCCCCACAGGGATGCCCTGATCCCACCCCGCCGGGAAGCAGCCGCGGGGTAGTTTCCTTCCAACTTTGCGGGGGGCGTCTCCGGAGTTGGCCGCGTCCCGCAGAGTGAAGCCCCCCGGCGGGTCTGTGGGTGTCTGTGGGCGCCCCTGGCCTCCTGTCAGCGCTGTGACGTAAGTTCTTGAACTTCTGGGACGTCTCTTGACACTCCTTGCTAAGAAGTTAACTTTCCAAAGTTTACTCTTGTAGGAAAGAAGGGAGGAGTTGGTACCCAGGAAGCCTCAGGACTTGCTAGCTTCAGCTTCCGGTCCTCTCTGGGTAGTTTGGCCAGCTCAAAGGCTTCTCGTCCTGAGTTTCTGTTTGGGTGACCGACTGAGAAGAATTCCGATACCCAGACGTTTTGTGCCCCTCCGCGTAGGGTGGGGCCAGGGTTCATCCGGGATTACTCAGGCCTAACTTGGGAAGCGCATGGTTTCCTGGAGTACGTTAAAAGGCCAGTGAGTTTCCACAGCGTGTGTGTGTGTGTGTGTGTGTGTGTGTGTGTGTGTGTGTAGGGAGGAGGGCCTAAAACTTTGTACATGGTGGGTGAGCACTGCTCTCCTGAGCCCTGTGTCTCCTGCTTGCTTGGAGGACCTCAAGCTGACGAGGCTAGCCTTGGAGTCTTGAGTAGCCTCAGCAGGCCTTCTTCAGCTTGGAACCCTCCTGCCTCAGCCTCACAGATTTGCTGGAATTGCTGGCCAGCTTGGGTCTTTGGAGAGGTTCTAGTGTCTCTTCGTCTTCAACACTGCAGAACCCTTCCCCAGTACTTTTTAAATAGTTTTAACACAGTTTCTCACTGTGTGGCCATGGCGCGCTGAATTGTCTCTGCCTTTTCACAGAGATCCACCTGCCCCTGCCCCGCCCCCCAAAGCGCTGTGATTAAAAGCACACACTAAGAAGTCTAGCCCCAGTAATGCATTTTGAAATAAAAATTCTTCACTGACTTATTCCAAAAGACTGCCTTGTGTCCCTCAATTTTTAAAAAAAAATTACCCACTTTATGCCACAAAATTGATTTTGGGTGTTTGTAGGTAGCTTAATTTTTTTTTTCCCTCAGTCGCCCATCCTACTCTCTTTCAGGATACCGGTGTGGGTAAATCTAGCATCGTATGGCGGTTCGTGGAGGACAGTTTTGATCCGAACATCAATCCAACCATAGGGTAAGAGAGCAAGTTTATTTAATATGTATCTCTGAGTTCGTGCAAAGTCATTTCGAGCAAAAAAGGTGTCGCTGGTGTAACATCTTGAGCTCAGTGAAACTGAGTTGCTGGTTCTCCACATGTCCAAAGTGACTTGAGAGAAGTCAGTGAGTTTTGCTGTCTCTCAAGAGAATTATCTTCAGACTTTGGGAATAAGAACTTCAAAATAGAAAAAGGAATCACAGTGGACACGGGCGTTCACAGACCCAGTTAGCCTTGAAAGCCCAGTTCTTTGGAGTGTATCAGTTAAAACCTAGTTAGTGTCAGTCTTTGAAAGGAAATAGAATGGGTCCAAACCCTTTCAAACATTGTTTGTTTTGGTTTTTCGAGACAGGGATTCTCTGTGTAGCCCTGGCTGCCCTGAAACTTGCTCTATAGACCAGGCTAGCCTTGAACTCACAGAGATCTACCTGTCTCTGCCTCCCGAGTGCTGAGATTAAAGGCGTGCACCACCACCGCCTGGCCCTCTTCAGCATTGAAACTGGTGACAGTAATGCAATAATATATTAATTAACTTTGAAATGTTAGGGTTTTTGTTTGTTCAGTTGGTTGCTTTGGTTGGTTTTTTTTTTTTTCAGGTATGTTTTGATCATTGAAATTGACCGTCTAAAGAGATTTTGACTGTATCGTTTTTCGTTAGGTCTGTGTGAGCTAGGCATGTGAACGTGAGGATACAGTGCCCTCCTTGAAGGCATCAGACCTCCCTGGAGGTGGTGGTGAGCTGCCTGCTTTGGGTACTGGGAGCCAAACTGGCCCTGGGGAGATCACTGCTTTTTACTGCTGAGCTGTCTCCCCACCTCATAGATTTAACACAGTTCTTTTCTGACTATTTATGTCGTGGGTCGATCGGTGGGATTAACACTGGTTTTTCCATGTGAGAACTTGAGCTGTGTGGACTCCACTACTACAATAAGCTTTTACATAAGCACTGCTTATGCTGAAACTCCTGCCAGTCAACTGGCTTCCTGTCTTTAAAGTTGAGTGCGGTCCATCATCAGGATATGACAGGGCTTCGTGCTCCCATAAAGACCATTCTCTCCCTCGTGGGGAAATACTTTACAGCTGTGAGGGGAACGTCCATGAGATTGCTGCTTGAGAATTTGTTAAAATCTCTGGGTTTCTTACACATTTGAGGGCATGCAGGTAAGAGTGTAACCTTCCAGAGAATTGGGTGTGTCCGCATGTGGGAAGTATCCCCTTCCAGCTCCTTGGGGCCTGTTGGTACCTGCGTTGAAACGTGAAGTGAGGGGCAGTGACAAGAAGTGTTGATGAGTCAGTGAGTGACATACTTCAGTCACAATGAGTCACAGCTGAAAACCCAAAAATACTAGACACCAGCTCACCTACTCTCCGATGCGTACAGAGAAGTACCACTCCTTGACTCCGTAAGGCCCCACTGTGTCTCAGGTGATGGGCCTTGGCTCCTATTTCACAGGAGAGACTACAAAGCCCGCCCCTCCTCTGTCCTTGCTCGCTTGTGTCTGTCTCTAACTTCCTCTCCCTCATGGCTGACACCCTAGGGGTGCATGCGCCTCTCTGAAGCTCTGGGGCCCCAGCTTTTCATCTCTCCTACCCTGCAGCTCCGCCACCCATCTGTCCTGCTGCCTTCCAGCGGCATCGCTCCCTGCCCAGCCTTGTTGCTGGGAGCTTGAAGAGAGAACCTACTGCTTCGTTGGCTGTTGCTCTCTCTGTGTAGCCCACTGTCGATACCCCGTGTCACTAAATCTACCCCTGGCTACTAGTCACAGTGGGAGCCACTGCAAACCCAGTGGGTATTTTCCACAAAGCTTTCTTCATTTATTGGGTAGCCACCGCATGTCAGGTGTCGTGGGTGCTTGTGATTTCAATCTGGCGTCAGCAGACTGTGGCCTTGTGCTCTGCCTTCTTCGTAAATGAAGTCTTAACAGGAGCAGTCACCCTGTCTCTGCTGTGTACAGGCTGCCCTGCCCAAAGGCAGCAGTCCTGTGGCGTGCAAAGCCAGGATTTGCTACCTGGCAATCTTGGTACTTTTATTTATTTATTTTTGCAGCAGGCAAAAATATTTATGCTCACACAGAATTAAAACTGTGTAGCCTAGGCTAACTCGGTCCCCTGAGCGCTGGGATGAGCCATCATATGTCTACCTGGCACTTTTCGGAATACATTTGCTGAAACCTGGTTTGGACACACAGTGTTCATATCATTATGTAGCTTCCCTGTGGGTTAAGAGAGAGGCATGTTCTATATTGTGCAGAAAATGACTCTTCAGCCTGTCTCTGTGATGTCAGCCCACAACAGGCCCTGGCCTCCTAGGAATGCCTGACTCCTGCAGGTCCCATGGAAAATGGGAAGCACTTAGAAACCCTGACATTCAAACCCTGAAAGATGAGCGCATTGTACTTTCATAGGAAGTTAGGAAAGTGTGTATTTGAAGAGACGTGTGTCAGCTGGTGGTAGTGAGAGACGGTGAGAGGTAATCTGAACAGCCCTGGGAGATTGAAGGACCAGCCAGGTAGACTATGGAGGGGTCTGAATAGAGCAAGGACAGAGTAAGAGCAGGAAGCGTGGCCAGCGAGTCTGTTGACAACAAGGATTGGGCATGGAGCCTTAGAGATGGGCGGGAGCTGCCCTGACAGGTGTAAACCGGGCATGATGGAGTGAGGTACTTTTGTCTTCTCTGGTTCCTTCCCTCCCGGGACTGCCTCTTTCACTAGTACTCTTTGGCCTCTCCTACTGCTGAATAATTGTTGGGCTTCTTCAAATTGTGTCTTCCTCTTTGTCCCCTAATATCCTTTTATCTGGGTCATGTGACCCAAAGTCAGCTTCTCCAACCTTTTCCTTGGCCACTGGTCCATACCAATGGTTTAGACTTGGCTCCCTAAAGAAGTAGATATCTGTCCCTCCTCTGTTCCTTAGTGTCCTCCTCCTTGACAGCCCAGGTGGGTCGTTGGAGTAGAGAGGAGCCTTCTTGTTTGTGGACTTGACTTGGGACCTCAGTGAGGAGGGGCTTCATTGAGCACTGATTGGGAGAACTCTCGTGTCACTGGCCAGGTTTCTATTGGATTTGTCTGGTTTATACCTACTGTGTGGGGTTTAATGAGACTCTATTGAAGATTCGCTGATTTAGCACAGAAATAGTGGGTAAATGTTGCCAGTAACTGGTGAGGCATCAACCACATGCTGCGATTCCATCCCTCAGGGAACACGTGTGAAAGAGGATAAGGACCCCATTAGAATCCCTACTGTGATGAGCTCTAGTGATCCTTGGGAGCTCATTGTGTCTCTTGGGTGCACTGGAATAGAGATTGCAGTTACTGTGGGCATGTGGGTGGGTCCCACACCATTAACACGAAATTCTTTCCTAAGAGCCAACCTGGAATATTCTGCTCCCCAGGTAGCCTGTGCCCATAGGTGACCCACAGACACCTAGGAGTTGTGCATGTTTATGACTGTACTTATAAACAACCTTTGAGAGGCTTGGGCCTCTGTTCTTCTTTCCCTGAGTAGGGAGCAGGACTAGCATGTCCTCAGATACTGAAGTGAAACCCCTTCCTCCCAGTCAGTTAGCCCATGGCAGTTACATTCATAGTCTTTTTCATCAGCAGAGTAAGGGCTGATGGGACCCCCCTCATTGGGAGGCTTCAGGCTGACGCAGATAAAGTATTGAGCAAAGGGCTGTAGGTGCTGGGGCTCAGTAAATGACAACTGCTATTCCAGTGTGGATTTCAGTTTTCCATGTTGGTCTATGTGGAACTGAGGTTTGAACTGAGGGATCTCGTTCTAGGCAGGTATTCCATGAGTTGTGTCCTCAGTATGCTTGGTCTTTAGGAAAATGACAGGACAGCCTGACAACAGAACAAGATCTTCTTGGATGGGGTGTGTGGCAAAGAAAAGAATGGTTTCATGGTTAGTCTAACAGCCCTGTCTACTCTGACCCATTTCTTAGAGACAACCACTGTTGCCATGGCATGTAGCTGTTTTCTGATTTTTCCTCCAGTTCTGCTCAGAGGCACATACACTGCCCCCTCCTCCCACGACACCACCATTTGAGGCGTTATTTAGTGATTTTCTCTTTAAAATGTGGAACCTAGTGTCCTCCCACCTCCTGTACGTTTGTCTTCCCTCCGTTTTGCTATTACAGTTCTGTCATCGAACCGCAACATGGTGAGGGTTTAATACACACCCTCACACTGGGCTGGCTGCGCATCTCCCAGCTCTCATCGTACTTACTTGTGGGCTTGGTTAAATTATTTAAGCTCTTTATGCCTGCATTTGCATTTTGGGAGTACTCTGTGATGTTTTATGGAGGTGGTTGTGAAAATTGGGCCAAAGCATATAGCCATGGTATAGAATGGCACATGGTGTATAGTAAACATCTTAGTAATCATTATTTTATAATAAACCTGTAAAGCTTAGTCAGACTTTAGATGAGTGGAAGTAGACTGTAGCCCCACTGCTTTTGAGTATTGTGAGATGGTGTAACATTGGGTGCACTGGAGTTCCTGTGTCTATGCCAGATGCTGTGTCCTCACTGAAGGTTGTCACTTAGAGCTCTGCTGTGAACATTCTTTAATGGACCTTGTATGTCCTTGTGAGTTTCCAGGGGCACAGGCTCGGGCAGGTACAACCCTTGCCTTGTCATCACTGTGTCACAGGGCCAGGATGGCAGTCTATCCTCGTCCACAATAGCTCTTGGGTGCTTGGATGCCCTGACCCTCCACATCATGTGTGATGCCATTCTTACTAGTCACCTCGTTCTCTTCAGGACCAGGGGATGTCTTGTTCTAGTTTCTGTTTCTGATGACTGAAGAGACTGGACCTGCTCCAGTTTCTCTGCATTGAAAGTGTTGTGTTCAAACCATGGGCTATTGGCGTGGTTGTTTTGACTACCTTGTGCATGTCACTCTGTCATCTGTGCACTAGACATTCTTTGGATCTGTGTCTTGTAGTCATGTGTCCCATTTTGTGACAAGCCTTTTCAG